ACCAACTTTCTGAGATGAGAAAGGGGGACACCTTCAAGCACGATGTAGTTAACCAATGCACACACCCCTGTCACCACCCCCTTATGTAGACCACTATGAATTTATATGCCAACTATGTTTGGCTTAACCCAGAATTGTCTTTTTACACCATTAATTTTTCTTTATACTGGCTGTTCAATATAGCAAACAAGGTAATTAGGAGATACGATGCAGGTTTTAGTGCAGAATAACACTTGTGGTAGATAAATAGTGCATTTTCATAGACATCTCTACTATATGCATGAGAAAACACATGTCTCTGCACGAAAGAGCCCAGTGAAAGCAGCACCTCGATCGACAGCAAAAGGCCCGTACTTCTCCCCCTTCTCCTCATTCCTCACTTTCCACATCTAAAGTCCCCCCAGAACATTCTTCTTCTGCACCTGCTGCAAATCTGTGTGACAGGAAGGAATGTCTCTCTTTCTTCAATGATACTGAGGACATGGTGTCATCTGCTACAGACAGTTTGTGGTGAAAGGGGTTTATAAGCTCAAATGACTGCACAAGTACCGCAGGATTAGGGTCATCAAAGAGGGGGACCACTATTAGGTGGCCACCTTACTAGGATACAATGACCGATCTGCTGTAGCCATCCCAGATTGAGCCTAAAATGCGGCACATTGAGGAAGTGCTGCGTAACAGCCTCTTTGCCGTATTTCCTGATGGTAGCAGGATCCCCTCCGATGACCAATGTGCCTCTAGTAAGAGTAGAGGGGGCAGCCTCAGCACCACTTTTCAGGCCTGGCTACCGTCAGCACTCACAGCATCTAAACCACACAATTGCTGATTACATTGGGTCCAGGACTGATGTGAACACTCTCAGAAGTAAGGACCCCATAGGCTATTGAGTGTCTAAGCTGGACCACTGATTGGAGCTTGCACAATATGAGCGGGAGCTTCTGGCTTACCCTGCTGCCAGTTTGCTTACAGTGCAGCAGGAGGTTTTGTTATGAAGAGGCAAATCGAGAATCCACCTGTCACCTGGCAGTGTGGACCAGCTCCCTTTTAATAAAGGCTGTTTAATTTTATGACCATGTTTCTTGTTACACCCATATTTAGGCTGATTACACCAAAAAAATCCCCAAAAACCTGCCACCATAACCATCTCCTGCCACATCTTTCGGTGTTTTTCTCCGGCACTTTAAATAATGCTCTGCTACACCTGCACTGTTCCGGCAGCTACTAGCCAATTTGTATCAAATTTGTATCAAATACATACCTGAAGTCTATTTTTTGAATATTTTGTGAATAATTGGGGTTACGAGGATGGGAGACGGTTTGGGAGTGTGAGGTTGGGGTACTGTGAAAAAAAACCTCACAAACTGAACCATTAAAGAGGAACTTTACCCACTAATTTAATGTCTCCCAAAACAGTTACTTTTAAGGCATGCCAACTGTCAAGGTTTCTAGTGTGCTGATTTCAGCTCTCAGCCAAACTTTCAAGCCCTGAAATGACTGGTGTCATAGCTGATCACATGTGCAGCATCACAAACATGCCAACTCTTCCGGACCTTCCTGAGAGTCTCCCGCTATAGGATAGCGGCGCCCAGGAGAGAAACATTTTATACCAGAAAGGTTTACTCTGCTAGTCTGTCTTTTTTTTTTTAATATATATTGGGGCTGCCAATCGCCATCAGAGTAAAAAAAAATAAAAAAAAAGACAGCATGAAAATGAATAGCTAGGCTGCTTTTAGCTATTTCAATTTGCAATAGCCAATAGCAGGTTGGCTATTACACCCACCCTCCGCTGCTGTCATTCATCAGAGGTGGACCAGAAGTTCTCCATCAGGTCCTTTGCAGATTTACAGCAGCAGTGGGTAGGTGGATTAGCCAGCCTGCTATTAGATATTGCAAATTGAAGTAGCCAATAGCAATCTAGCTATTCATTTCCATGCTATCTGTTTTTTTTTTTTTTATGCTGACGACAGGAGCCCTCAGAACACAAAAAAAACCCCAGCAGATAGCAATGTAAGCAATAGCTCCTCTGCTATCTGCCATAATTTCACGGAGGTGCCCTCTCCCCCGTAACATGGCAACTGCAATCCAAGTAAATCCAAGTAGAGACTAAGATGGCACCTTCCTTGACTGTAAGGGTAGGAGGTTGTAGTTCTGCATTAAACTGTTGTGTTCCTGGCCAATTGGCTTTATTTTGTTCAAGAGTAAACATTCTATAGCTATTCGACCTGCTGTGGCTGCCATTGTACAGTTCAGGCCTACTACTGCTTCACACAAAAAATCAGTTGTCGGTGCCAAAAAAAACTTTTTTTTCCAAGTTGAAATTAATCAGATTGGGGTATGGCTGCTGCATTTATGCCAAGCTAAATGTTAAAAAAATGAATTACATATCCAAAATACATGATGCCAGAATACAGTATTACTGACACATTGTACTGTTGCATAACTTCAGACACAGCTTAAAGACATCTGCCAAGCATGTAGTAATATAAAGCATTAGTGTTTTTTCCATGTTGTGCTCGAAGTCACATTAAAAGTACCCCCATTTTCACTGTATGGTATTGGGAAAAAGCATGAAACCGCTGTATGCAGTTGTAAAGAAATTGCTCTATATTATATCTGTGCTATGTCAGCAAGTCTGGAGGTACAGTTGACCAAAGGGGCATAAAAGAATGATATCATGGTCTACCCAGTATTCTATATAGAAGAATGATCAACTTATTTTTGGATTTTTTTATGAGTCATTAAGATGTCTTCTGTCTGGGTCAGTGTTTCACTTTGAATTACTCAGTAAGTGAGAAGAAGAACTAACCTCTCAATTCTGGAAGAAGGTTTAGAGCAAGAAGAGTGTACCGTATCATCTGGTAGAATGTGAAAGGTGTTATGTTTTTAGGGCTGGATTCCTGCAAAGCCATCATCTTGACCAACATTGGGGTCTAAAGGGGCAGTGCCTCCAGAGGCCACCCACACATACTCCTGCTGACAGTGACACATTCTCATGTGTTATCAAAGGCTCCAGACTGTTGCCTTGCCCACCAGTGCCACCTGTCTGCATATTTAATGATGTTGTCCCCTGTTTGCCTGGACAGTTTCATTGGTGGTCGAGTGTACCGAATACTTTCAGGTGACCAGCACTGGGTCCATACACCAACAATCTAATGCTGATGCTATCTCTGTTAACATACTGTATGCCTTTTCTATATTCCTTAGTATGGTTCTCATTCTTTTAGGTGGTGTCACCTTGGTTTTGATCCAATTTCTGTAAACAGGATATTAATTCTGGTTTGCATCAGTATGGCAATATAAAAATAGATGTGTAAAGGGATCTGTCAATTTGGCATTTTTGAGAGGCCCTGATCTTGTTGTGCAATACTAAGGTTAGATATAGACAGAGATGAAGATTGAAAGATCTCTCTTAATGATCATCCTGCAGATCGACTTTCACATAAACATGAAGTTAATTTCAACTAGACATTCGTTTATATGCAGTGAGCAAGACACCTCTGGAGAAAAGTTCAGGTTTCTAAAGAAACATTTTGATGGACTACAATCTCAATACAAATTAGTAAACTAAACGTGAGATTGTAGTGCATCATGGTAGCGAGCTTAGAGCGGTGGCTACTTTACAACACTCACAGGGACCATGGGGAACAAGAGCAGCCACTCTCCAGAAGGAAGGACAGTGTCAGCACCTATTCAGAGGTGATTTGAGGATCTACAGTCGAGTGAAACACAAATAAGATACATTTTTGTTATTAGTTAAGGGACTTGAATGCACTTTTAAGATTTAACCCCTGAGTTTTCCATCACTTTAATGTTGTGCTTTTTACTGATTTATTACACCCTGTTATCTTAAGCACTTCCACCCCAGTAAGTAGATGCTGTCTTTCTTTCAGTGGTTTCTTCATCTCATTGTGTTAACGGTGAAAGACAAAGCTGAATTTCAGAGCAGGCCATATAGGCTTTGGCATGAAAAGGTGCACATTTTCATTGATGGAATATGTGTGCTTATTGTTCATTGTGCGCATATGGTAGAGATGGAATCAAACTGCTAGCTGAGTAGTCCCCCACTGTTTTAGATGTTCTAGTTTTGCAGAGTGGGTGAACACTTACTTTCTCTGCCCCCAAAGCCTGAGCTGATCATCAAAATTTGCCCCTGTTGACTTTTGTACAGTTCACATTTGGCAACTTTTTTAATTAGCTCACCAAACTCCAGATGGATAGAATTTTGGCCTCAGCAGTATGCATACAGTAGGCATAGCACTAACTTCTAGAAAAATAAAGTAACAATTATCCCTACTCTCTAGGGGTCAGCTGCATGTTTGTGAATGCAAAATGGGTGAACTGTCTTTTTATTTCCTTCCATCCCAAGGCACAATATTATTTTTTTTATTATTATACAGGATTTATATAGCGCCAACAGTTTGTGCAGTGCTTTACAATATGCCTAGTAGAGTGGGTATAAAGTCTGATCTTGTGTTGTAGAGTTATACTATGGTTAGCCACTCCATTGGGGTTCTAGCGGGATGCCATTAGACAGTAAGCCTAGGGAACCAGGAGGTATACTGTAAATCTGATCCTAATTAAAAACTTGCACTGACACTTCAAATTGCTTCTGAAAAATCCCCCTGGACATCCTCTTTTTTCTGTTTTTGGGTAATCTGATTCTGAAGAAATTGTGAAACACTTTACAAGAAATCACATGGTGAACCAATTGGAACCACCATGCAGTGTCATCTGAGTGGTCACCTCATTGTTAAAAACAGTAGCAGACGATGACTGATATTAGCTAATGGAAGCAAAATAAGAAGTGGGAGTTATTATCTGCATTAAGTCCCATGTGACCGGATATTCTTATATCATTTAGAAGCCACAACTGTGTTTTTCAGTCTTTCCAACTGAACTGAAACTCCAGCGAGTAACCTGTACTAACCAGGACTTCAGAAGCCACAAGGTTTAAAGCAGCAGTTTCCTTAAAGCGGGGGGAGAATAATGAGATATCGAGAATGATTTCTTCTATTCTACTTATACTTCTGTACGTAATCCCACCGACTCTTCAGCTGGGTAAGTTATTAGTGAGTATGTGTGTCTTTTCGTGTTGTAAATAAGTATAGCTAACAGCCCTTAGAACTTGCATTAAAAACCAATTCAGCAATGGCATCTCTAATATTTCTATCTTGACAAGTTCCATTTAATATGCTGATATAGATTTGAAGGAGGTTTCACAATGATAGTCATTCTGGTGTCGCCCCCTCTGAAAAGTTGGGCACTCAGTTATGGACTGAGAGCCCGACAGTTGCAGCTGAGAGGAGGGGACCCGACGGCATACCCTATCCTGCTGGGTGAACATCCCCTCCTCTCTCTGCCGTTGTCCATCACCATGATGACCGCCGGCAGATATCACCAAGATGGCAGCACATGTGCGATGACATCATTGCGCACGCACGTGGTGACGTCACGAACATGCACAATGATGCCATGGCAACGGTGTCACCCGGTACCCGCTCTGGGTGGCACCTGGTCTCGGAACGCCCCTGGGGAGGCGTCAGGAGAGGGATAGGATCGGAGGCTACAATACACACTGAAAATATGGGGAACAAAAGTAGCCACCCTCCAGAAGGAAGGACAGTGTCAGCACCAATTCAGAGATGATTTGAGGATAAAACAGCTGAGTGCTATATAAATAAACTGCAGTTTTGTTAATAGTTAGGGTACTTGAATGTATTTTTAAGATTTAACTCTCGAGTTTAGTGTCACTTTAAGACTTGAATCCTAATTTTTACTTGATCCTAGCAATATAAAAGCTGAACACACCTCCTGTTTAGAATTTAGCAATGACTAGACATGGGGGCCCTGTCAGGTCAAGTGTTTTGCAAATGTGCAGAAACAACATCCTTTCTTTATTTGACAACTTTTGGAAACATTTTTTATGACTGGAAGCTATAATCTTTTATTATGAGGCTGAGATAGAGGTCTATTCATAACGGGTTCACCCACAAAATCCGGTAAGGAGTGCAGCAAGATATATACTTTCTTCACCCAGTGTATAGCACGCCATTACAGCCACTGGAGGGAGTGGAGGAGCATAGAAATTCCTATGTTCTTTGGCTTCATCTAGTGGCATTAATGCCATGCGAATGGCGCTCAGCTGTACGCTGAGGGAACATGTAAATAGGCCCCATAATGTCACTCTCATTTATTCAAGCTACTTTAGCAATCTGGGGGCAGGCTTTAGTTTTTATAGGAATAGACCCATAGAACAATGCAATCAACTAGAAATTTTAAAATGTCTTTACAGTAAAATAAATAAGTACATAAAGTCTGGGTTGAATGATTAAAAAGTAGGCTATCATCAGTAAAATACAGCATGTGAAAAGGTCCAGAGATACAGACAACTGAAGTTATAAGAAACGTTTGACTTGGCTCCTGAAAAAGTTGATCTTGGTCTCACCTCTTTGTGCCAATTTGTCACGCATGCGCACTACTCCAAGCAGCCACGTGACTTATTTCAGTGGTAAGAGGGTTGAAAAATCACTATCTGTCTTCACTAGACTGAGAAATAATGATTAAAGGTCACACTTACACACCACCCACTCTGTCTCATCTAAAGATTGCTGCCACCAAACCAAACCTGGTTAAACCTTCAATTCCTAATTTAGTATATAATCACTGGCGGAACTACCAGGGTCGCAGCGGTCGCACTTGCGACCGGCACCAGGTGTTCCGCCAGTTCGGGGGGGTGACGCGGTCGCTCTTGCGCCCGGCACCAGGTGTTCCGCCAGTTCGGGGGGGGCCCAGAGAGAAGGGGAGGCCCGCCGCTCGCTATGCTGCCCGCGGCGCCGCCCCGTCACCGTCTTCACCGCCGCCGCCCGCAGTGTCTTTTGCGGCAGCGGTGAATAGAAGAGGTAGCGCTGCGGGGGTGTAGCCTGTCAAGGGGTGACGCCTGTCAGGGAACTCCAATTCTCAGCAGGCAACTGAGGAGGGAGCAGCCGAGCAGGCCCGGCGGGATACACACCACGCTGTAGGACGTCCTGGCTTGAGCTGGACCCTGGAGGCACAGAGTTCGGGAGCACAGCTCACAGCACAGAGTGAGGAGATTCTGGAGTAGAGCTGCAGCAGGTCCAGGTAGGCACTGATTGTTCATTGCTGTATATGTGCTGAGTAGTGACAGTGTCTTGCACTGTGATTTTTTTTCCAACCAAAAATAATTTTATTGTAGAAAACAACTACCCGCCCAGCACCCGGAACTGCATGTCCTGGGTGTTGGGGGATAGGAATTCCTCAGACATGCTGCCCCTCTACTTCCTGCTGCCCCGAGGCCGGGCCTTGGTTGGCCTTTTGAGAAATCCGTCCCTGAGCACTGGACTGTATGGCATTTACAGTGACTGCATATCACTAAACAAAGTGTGTTCAGTCCATGTGTTCAGTGATATGCTGTGTAATTGCAATACAGATTTTGCTGATATATCCATGTTCTGTACTACCTGTAAATCATACTATTAGATTTAAATGTAAAGTCTTATTGTATGATTTATCAAGTAATGTAGAACAAATATACCAGTTTGTGAATATATTAGTAAAATGATGGAAGTGGGCGAGTTGTAGGGGCCCACCAGCAAAATTTTGCCCAGGGCCCCTTGAATATTAAAGACGGCCCTGATAAGCCTATAGAGTTCCATATCTATGGAACTATGATTTCGGTATAGATCTCTGAACAATCCTGTAACAGCTGATCTAAAATCTTATTTTTCAGAATCAGACTCATTTTTAATCTACAATGAAAACCACAAGAAATGTTTGCAAGCTCAAAACAGCGTAATTATGGTTGCTGATTGTATGAAGGACAACAACGCACAGAAATTCCGTTGGATCTCTCAACACCAGCTGATAAATGTGGCGGTGCCGCAATGTCTGGGGGTGTCCTCTAAAAGTGAAAGGAGTTTGGTCAGCTTGTCGTCGTGTGATGGCGCTAATGAACTCCAGAAATGGGAGTGTAAAAATGACACTTTGTTTGCTATCCAGGGGGAAAACATTTACCTAAACTACGGCAACGAAAAAGAAAAAGTGGTTATTTATAAAGCATCAGGAGTCTGGAGCCGGTGGAAGATCTACGGAACGCCTGATGACTTATGTGCTAAGGCCTATGAAGGTAAGGTGTTCTATTAAAGGTCAACTCTATGCAAAGCATTATTATACCAATGTAAACCTAACTGAATTATATTTAGCTCTGGGGGCCATTGGGGGCCCTTTTGCCAACAAAATGCTTGTTTTAATTTTTCATCCTTTAATACATGGCTTTTGATCTCCTGCAGCCTCTTTGCAGCTTCTCATCTACATGTTCTCCATTAATGATTGAATGATAGGTCTCAGGGAAAGTTTTGTCATAGGAGTTGACAGTAAAACATGCCTGTGTAATGTGTGTTGACAGGTGCGTTAGAGTAACATGCGCACATTGACTGCAATGCACTAATGGGAATGGACCCTGATTCTTATTGGTGGCTATTGAAGTGAGATATTAGTAACACCTGCATGCAACAGGTCAAGACAAAGTGAGTTATTAGTAATACTTGCATACAACAGGTCAAGACATTAGCTTGCATTTTCTTAGTTCAGGGATGCTCAAAAAGATAAGAATACGGGCAGCTGCAGTCTAAAACACAGTGCAGGATAACAGCATGCATAGACAAGGTACATAAAGAGAAGGCAAATCATGACCAAAGGTCCAGGTCACAAGGAAACTGATACAATAAAGAGCTGGGCATCAGGTCTCAAGTGAAGAAGAGCACCAAACAATGTACTGGCATTTTCTTGTGCTCAGACTTAGGCTTAAAAAAGGTAACACATAGTGACACTGCCAAAAAGTTTTAAGTTGGCCTTTCTGAACAGAATTTCCATTTTTTTCTCTAGCTGTGACACTCTGGCACCAGTACAAAAACTAAGGGTGAATCTCCTATCAGAGCCACAGATTGCAATAGCGACCTAACAGGGTTTCTCACTATATTTCTATCCAAAAAAAAGAGGACGTTTTGGAGTTTGCCAATCCTATATACTGTATATATATATATATATACATATACATACTGTGTATACTCTCAGTGACCATCTATCTCTTTGTTCTCTTCCTCATTATCCTACCGTACCCTGATAGGTTCCAACCTGATAGCTTCCTGATAGGTCAACCTGATAGGTCTTCCTGATAGGTTCCTCTCTCTACTTGGGCTTCCACTCCTTGGTTCTTTCTTTCCCCTTTTTTACTGTCATTCTGTCAGTTGCTTCTCTCCACTGGGTCTACTTACCCTTCTTTGTTCTGTAGCTTCTTTAGACCCTGGCTCTGTGCTGAAGGTTGTGTGGTCTTGCTGTTTCACTCTTTTACTGTGTCTCGCTCTTTCCCCTTGTCAGAGTCTCAACATAATTGTTTTTCACATCTGAGCTATTTTTTCCTTTTACTAATTTTCCTAAGTCATCAGTGAAGCCTTTTCAAAGAACAGTGACCAAATACGAGATAATACTGACAGTTTAATCTTTGGTAAGGATACTGACTGATGCCCACTCACTCTGTTTTTCTGTTGGTCTCCCCTATTACAATCTTACTGGCTCCTCTGCAATAGATACTGAAATGCAGAATAACCCATAGAAATTCATACAGAGGATACTACCAGTCAGGCAGGAAAAATGGATATGTTTCTATGGACATGGATTTTTTAATGGATTTAAACACAACATTAAAGGAGAACTATGAGATGAGTGATTTCCACTAACCTCATAGTTCTAGCCGACCTGTGACAATGAGACTGTCACAGGTCGGCTCAGTAGATCGGGAGGTGAGCGAACACATACCGGGTTCGCTCACCTCTCGATCCTGTCACGGCTCTCTGCCGTGACAGGGGAGGGGCTGGATTCCCCTCTCCACGCTCCGGACCGCCAGCGCTGGCTGGCGGAACGGACGGGGGAGGGGGTGGTTACAGCTGGCTCTGCCTCTAGATAGGCAGAGCCAGCTGTCACTCACGCAGCTGGGCGGATCCAGACATCTAAGTCGGGATCCGCTCCGGCTGCGGCGTCTCAGTATACCGCAAGCTTTAGCTCGCGGTATTCTGAGCTTAGGGTAACGGGAGGACGCTAGTTTGTGTCCTCCCGTTACCCTGAGGAGAACTATGTGGAAAAACACTGACCCCATAGTTCTCCTTTAATTCTCATGTGAATTTAGAAGCCACCTTTGAAATTACAGCCAGTTCTGAACTCTGTATACTATTGTCTTTCTTCAGATTGGCCTAAATAAAAGGTAAACGATGTCTGTTCGATTTGGGATTTCCCCTATGATAAATTATCTTTTCGCTCTGGCTAAGTCCAAGCATTTTTTTCCCATTAATAACATTTGTTACATAGTTACATAGCTGGTAAGACTGAATAAAGACACAGGTCCATCTGGTTCAACCTGCATGTGTGTCTGTACTTCTGCGTGTGTATATTGTTTTAAGTTTCAGCTGATATTGAGGGGAATACCACATTTTTACTGCATTGACAGCAAAAAGAAAAAACCCTTGCACAGTCTGAAATTAAACTGCATCTCATCCAGCTTCTTGTTGTGACTCTGTGTCCTCTTTAGAGTTCTTACTTTAATCAGTTTATTCTGGAAACAGCAGTCCCCATTGATGAGTTTGTCAATTTCTATCATATCCCCTCTTAGGTGTCTCACAGTCAACACACCAACTATAGTCTGGCGCCATTGGCAGCTATATGATCTTCACCTTCACAAAATTGCCCATCACATAGTTTTCTGCTCTTGTCATATGGACCAGGGAACCTTCAGAAACACAACCACAAACAAAGGCACAGAGCACCCGATCCATGGGAAGAATCATTTCATTAGTTATAAATATTAAAAGTACTGGTTCTACTCACAAGAGTTGTCTAAGCTGAGCGTGTCGTTTCCGAAATCTTTTAGTTGAAGGAACATTAAATCCATTCTGCACAACAGTAACATGAGCACCGTTCGATCAGACAGCTGGCATGCCACCTCACAGCAGGTCTCATGGAGTAGCGGCTGATGCCAGGACTTTTAATATTTAAAACTAATAAAACGATTCTTCACATAGATCGGGCCCTCTGTGCCTTTGTTTGTGGTTTAAGGTGAATGTGTTTGATTTCTCTAGTTGATTTTCATAACTCAGGCCCTCCATCCCCCTTATTAAAGTGGACCTTTACCCCCTTTGGCTAAAAATCGCACCAGCATGCAGCTCCGCATGGTGATATGAAATCATCTTACATTCATTAGTTAAACAAACATTTTTTCCATTTACTTACAATTTCTTGTTTTTTACTTCCTGGTCCTCTTTGGCAAAAGTGAGGTAATCTGTGCCCAAGCATTGCATCCTGGGAGGTTTACATCAGCAGAGCATTGCTGGGAAATTTCATCACCAGATCTCAGGGAAAGGCATTTTCCTCCCCTGAGATGATGTGCATGGTCACATGTCCTAGTCACATGTGCCAGAGTTCAAGGAAGTAAAGAGAGATGGATTCATCTGCCCTTAGTAAAAATGGCCACTGTGAGAAAAAAAAATACCAAGGTTGGCAAAGAATAAAAAGTCGGCAATTATCTAGAAGTATCTGTTATCTGTTTGTAGATTGTCATTACTAAACATTTCTAAAGGTGTCTTTGTTGTTATTTTGAAGATATGGGTAAAGGTCCTCTTTAATTTTGTTGCACTTCTCTAAACCTTCTTTAGTTCAAGGACGTCCTTCCTGAGAATTGGTAACCAAGACTGAACCACATACTCAAGATGTGGCCAATTGTATTTATTAAGAATTATTTGTATGCATACTATTCTTCACTAGGTAACTCTGTTATGTCATTCTTCCACAGACATATATTCCATAAGGGGAAATGGTAATGGTCAGCCCTGTGTATTCCCATTCAAGTTTGAGTCTAAATGGTATGCAGACTGTACCAGGGAGGGAGCACAAGAACGTGATCTCTGGTGTGCTACAACAGCGGATTATGATAAGGATTCGTTGTGGGGATACTGTCCTATTAAATGTAAGTATTGACAATTACTTTCCTGGTGTGATCTTGGTTTAGCATGCTCCAAACTTATCTCTTTCTTAAGCTGGCCATACACCTATACATTATCTGCAGGTTTTGTATGGTCTATTCTGACTCCAATTATTGTATTAGCGATGTATCCCTTGCTGAGACCTCTATGCCTGGCCTGTATAAGCAGATATAATCACTGCGGACAATCCTTATCAGATAGCTGAACTCACCAAATACCTTTTCCAAAAGGTGCTTTATTCTTTACATCAGGTTACAGCAGACAACAGGATACAGCAGATTAATGAATTGGCAGTATTTAAGGCGGTCAAAGATGATGTTTCCAAGCATGCAATGCAGATTAACATGTGGATCCTGTTACAAGCAGCCATGACACAGGAAATTAATATTGAAAAAGAAGGGTGGAGCATTACACACAAGGGAACTACATCATAGATGTGGGGTGTCAAGGTCTTACCTTGTCCTCATGGTGGCAGCCATTTTGGACATGAGCAGACTGATATAGTCAGGTGTTGCCACATCATCACAGTGTGACGCCCAGGCAGCAGGCAAGCGATTATGCAATCAGAGGTTATAAGAGACTGCAGTCTGCACATGTCCAAAATGGCTGCCACCATGAGGACAAGGTAAGACCTTGACAGTGGGGAAGGGAACACAGAAACCATGTTCAATAACCAAAATAGATAGATAGATAGATAGATAGATAGATAGCAGTATATGAACCTAGCCATACAATATAAGTAAATGGCTTGAGGAAAATAAACTATATAAATTCTAATTTAACATTAATGTGAATATTAACTGTGACTATATTTTACACAACGATTGTGACAGCACATGCTCAGATGGAAAAAGTGCAACAGAGTCCGGAGAATGGAGCAATCTCCCGCTGGGCCAAGCTTCAGTATCTTGCTAGTCGGCCCCACTGGCTCTCAAAACACCTGAACAATGCCTGCATCCAATCAGATTGTTAAGGTATTTTGAGAGCCAGTGGGGCCGACTAGCAAGATGCAGAAGCTTGGCCCAGCCGGAGATTCCTCCATTCACACAGTATAGCGTAGATGGAGGAATCTGTTGCACTTTTTCCCTCTGACCATAGAAAATCTGCGGATAATCTGTAGCTGTATGGCCAGCTTTAGCAGGACAGCTGGCTGGAAAGCTTTAAAGCTTCCCCTTAAGAACTAATAGAAATTGTGAAAGGAATATTTCACAATCTATAGGAAACATGTATCTATATGTAAAGTAATGGAACTGTATATAGTTGAGTAATCTATCATATCTTGTGCTTGGATGATGGTGTTCCACTAACTATTTTCTCTTTTCAGCTACAAGAGAGGGTTGGTGGACAACAGATTTCATCAGTGGCTCTGTGTATCAGGTCAATGAGAATTCAGCCCTGACTTGGTACCAAGCACGGAGAAGCTGTCATCAGCAGGATGCCGAGCTATTAAGTGTAACTGAGGTACACGAGCAAACGTATATATCAGGTAAGTTTTATAGACAGACCCAGCAATAGCCACCAATCACAGGAAACACAATTCAACAACTGTGCACATCTAAGACTGTGACCAGTCTACAGACCTTCTCCATGATGAAAAGTATAGTATAGTGGTTGTGTTCTCTCTCTCTCTCTCTCTCTCTCTCTCTCTCTCTAGATAGGCAGAGCCAGCTGTCACTCACGCAGCTGGGCGGATCGAGACACAATTGTCGGGATCTGCGGCGTCTCAGTATATGGGAGGACGCTAGTTTGTGTCCTCCTGTTACCCTAAGGAGAACCATGGGGAAAAGCCTTAACCCCATAGTTCTCCTTTTAAGCTAAAATCTACGCGCAGAACTGAAGAGGAGTGGCCCCTTACTCCCTCTCCCTTCCAGCTGTGTATAGGCAAGAAATATATTAAATTTAAAGAGAGTCAGTATGAAAGCAAACAGGTCCTGCCATTCCATTTATGTTTAAAGGACCATAATCCTCTGTGAATCCTGTGCCATTAGTGTAGCTTGTTCTCATTATTTATTGGTAAAACAAAGACTGTATATGGACAGATACAGGATATCAGTATACAAACTATAAATAAAACCCAAAAATACAACTGTTATAGTTCCCCAATATCACTGATACAGGAGAAATCATGAATAGCAGTATAATTTTCCGTCTGTGAGCCCAAAATCACTTGAGATGGTGACAGGACCTTGTATTCTCAACGTCTACTTAGTATAGAAATGAAAAACATTTGGGTGACATTACAAGTAAAACCATCCAGGAAAGGGATATTCTTGCCTCACCGTGGAGCTTTTTTTTAGACTTCATTTTGTGGTAGTGAGTTCATTGTTTAATCAATTTTAATATTGTTTTTAACAAGAGACAAGAAGATCAAATATATACTTTATTTAGCCCCCGAGAGCTCTGAAATGGGAAGCTCAGTTCTGATATGTAAAAAGTGATATCAGTCCCTCCAACTTTGCACACCTCATGTATGACCATTGAGGTTCTTGACCGTAACAATGAACCAATAATAAAATGTTGAAAGCGTTATAGTGTGTTATAGCGTTATAGGGTTATAGTCAAGTATGACTTTAGAAAGTTGCTATTTGCATTTTACAGCACTTCGGGACTCCCAGTGGGGCTATACAAGGTAAGTGACCATATATGCAGGCATCTTTAGGTGCTTACATTTCATGACAACCTAAGGTTTATAAGCTGTAAAATAAACACGGGTTCATTTTATGTTGGCCATAGACCTATGATATACTTGGAGACACCATGCAACTGGAGCTCGCCTATTGTCCAGCTGTGCCATAAATATAAAGGAGCAGCCTGTCCATTCTAGAGTTTGCCCTGAGATCAGTCAGCCAATAGCATCTGGTGACACCCAAAGAAATAAGACTGTTATTTGTCCCATCCAAGATTATCATCTCATGTCTATGGAAAACCTTAAAGAGAAAATATAATGGTTATAGTGACGCTTAATTTAAATTTTTTTACTTTATAAGTTTTCAACTTAAATTTTTTCAACTAATGTTTAACTATATGTATATTCATTTGTATATTACTATTATTATTGTTTGGTATTTAGTATATAAATATTGTTGTGTTGTGAGCTATAGGTGTACCAGGGATGGTTCCCAATTTTTTTTAGGCCCGGGGCAGACCTGAGCAATACGGGATCGCCCGTCCCGTGATCGCATGGTCCTGCACAAATGCAGACAGCGATTGCCACGCGGCCCCATTGATTTCAATGGGGTGACATCCGCACGGAAATCGCAGAAAAAAGATACATGTACCTTTTTTGTGTGACACATGACGCGCGACTGTTTTAGCCGTGATCGTGTTTGGATGCACACGGCAAGACTGGGGAGCCATTACAAAATAATGTGCTGGGTGGCTCCGCGCGGTATCGTGCACAATTGCACAATATCGGTCAGGAGTCGCCTAGGTGTGCACCGGCCCTGAAGTTCTTGTTTTCTCTAGAGTATGCTGACACATTTTTTTCCCGATCATTATCAAGTTCATTTATATTTTTATTTGTTCATTTGTTATATTTTCTGACATTTTTTTTTATAGGATTAACCAGTATCACAAAAACAGCCTTATGGGTAGGGCTTAATAGTTTGGACTTAAATGCAGGCTGGAAGTGGAACGATGGAAGCCCATTCCGATACCTCAACTGGCTTCCAGGTGAATCCTTAGTTTTTGCACATTGAATTACAAATAAGTTATGCTTCTGTTCAATATGTTTTAGAGATGCACCAATACCAGTATCAGTATCGGTGCTGATACTGTGCATTTGCACGAGTTCTCGTCCTCATGCAAATGCTCTGATACCGAAAACCAACACCGGCGCTTTAATTATGAAAATTGAAGTGGCTGCCTTAGGTCCTGCACTTGCTGGGGGCCTCACGGTAGCTTTCTTGGGAACCACACAGCACCTATTTACAGCACTTCTGCCGGCCCACACATCTCCCACTTTGATAAATTCCCTTCATTAAGTCTTTTACCATACCCAGCCAAACTAAACAGGCTTACAAATACAACCAATACTCATTGAAATCATGCAGTAGGCTCAATCATTAAAAATTATGGTGGTCTCCGTTTTTAGACGGTCACATGTACCCACAATGGCTGTTATCTCTAAGGTTGGGACAAACACTTGCACACAATTTCAGAAGTCACTGGATGCAACTGGACAAACATGGCTGTTTCTGGTAGGACAGTCAGAACTTTGCCTTGGCTTATTTTAAGATGTCTATATGTACCTCCAAAATGGATGGGGATAGGAGGGGCTGGTTGAAGGGTGGAATGTGAGTTTTGTTATGTAAGACATTTTCCCAACATGAAAAAGCTTTGGGCTATGTGTATAAGAAGTTATAGCAAACAAGGCATATAAGCAAACTTTTGGATTTTGCAAACTTGTTTACAGTTGGTGTCTGAGGTTGTGAAGGGGAACCCCTGGTGGCTGGGTTGTTAAGTCAGTTCCTGGTTGCGGAAGTCTGTGACAGCCTTTCAGTGGCAGCGAAAGCTCCCAATTTGCCCCCCCCCCCCATTTCATCCACTTAAAGGTTCCAACTTCAGCCCTAGGTCTGGGCAGAATTTTACTTACATAACTTGTAGGATACCTCTGCTGCTTAAGTGGTTCCAGGTTCAGTCCCTAGGAGGATCACATCTTATACCTGAGGCATGTGGCATGGGGGTTCAGGTAGCATATCAACTGCGCTGGAGGAACCTACCCAGCCAGTGCCACTGACTGACCTGTTGTCACCAGACCACCACACACTCCTACTCTGAACCAACGGCTCCATTAAGATTATCAGGTATAGGTCACAAACATTACAGGAATGAAGAGACATACCTACTTTGAACTTATGATGTCTTAACTTAATAGATGAACAACAAAACATTCCAAAATTTCTACATTTCCATGTCTCTGGTCAGTCCACCTCAAACTTGTGCACATATTAGAGAGTGTTCTCTTAACAGAATGTCCAGCTTCCAGCTCCACTTGTGGAAGAAGAACACTGGCATCCCTCCTAAGAGGAACACTGCACCGCCGCACTCCAACACATAGTAACAGGGCCCTACAGGGTCATAAGAGATGGTTTCCGCTACAGGGACCAAGGGATACCTGCTTTCTGCATCCTATGTTTTAGGTTTTTCTGTGTGAACACATGCTTTAGTACACTCCACTGAAGACCTGTGTTATGTAGAAAGCCTCCTTTTATCTATGGCTCCTAGCATAGAATCATTCCGCATTTAATTCCTG